TTTTGTAATGATATCTTTAATTCTCTATTTTTGGTGAATATTTTTGTCATTTTTTGGTGAAAAGTGATATTTTCGACTTCTTGTTAAAAACCGCAAGTCCAATTGCTTTGATACTACATATATAGGTACTACATGTGGACCTCTCTCAGATTTGTTTATTTCGTGATGATATCTTCAATTCTCTAATTTTGGTGAATATTTTTGTCATTTTTGGTAAAAAGTGATATTTTTGACTTCTTGTTAAAAACCGCAAGTCCGATTGCTTTGATATTACATATATAGGTACTACATGTGGACCTCTCTCAGATTTGTTCATTTTGTGATGATATCTTCAATTCTCTAATTTTGGTGAATATTTTTGTCATTTTTGGTAAAAAGTGATATTTTCGACTTCTTGTTGAAAACTGTAGGTCCGATTGCTTTGATATTACATATATAATTACTACAAGTGGACCTGTCTCAGATTTGTTCGTTTTGTGATGATGTCTTCAATTCTCTAATTAATTTATTTTGGTGAATATTTTTGTAATTTTTGGTAAAAAGTGATATTTTCGACTTCTTGTTAAAAACTGTAAGTCCGATTGCTTTGATACTATTCATATTGTTCATTTTCTAATGATGTCTTCAGTTCTTTAATTGAAATGTGCATTGCTAACAGCGGAGCTATCTCAGCCGATAGGCTGCTTGTAATTAACAAAAAATGATTTTTACACCCTATAAAAACATTCAAATCACTTTTTTTCCTACTGAGTGTTTGCTCCTTGTAGTCCAGCATTGAAAAATACAAAAAAGTAGAATTTTGGGTTTCAAAGCAAAAAAAGGTGTACAGCATCCTTAAGTAGCATTTTTTTATGGATCCCAAAATCTGTCTTTGTAACGTAATATGTATAGCTCTTTTGTTGTATTGTATCTTTCTCATTCATTAAGTCAAGTGAAAGAACGCACAATAGGGTCTATGATTAAAGAGACTGTGATTATTTGAGGCTATGACGTTTAATTTAGTTATTTGCATATTGACATTGATACATTCCATGGAACATCTCGTGAGGATTAGAGCTCAGTTCCTGGCCTAGCAGTGAGTAATAAACACTTTGGCTACAAGTCTTCCTCTCCAGTGCGTTATTCTCCTCCTGGATTTGATGACTAATACTTACTTGGTTCACTCTACCTTGAGAAGTATGTGAACAGTGTACATGGATATATACAGATTTGAATACTTTTCAGTATTAATAGTACTTGTATGCAAATTTATAACTTTTCATGTGTTTCTGTATTTTATAGGTTATGATGTACAATAAATCGAATGTATTCACCAAGATTTGAAGCTAAAGACATTCCTCAAAAGAATAGTGAAATTCCCCTCCATGGTTATTATATTGCATTTGAAAACGGTTTTAACCCTATATGACAGAGTGTTTGTTTGTTTATTTATATTTACTTTTCCTCTTATTGTGGAAAACCATTCTCATTAAAGATGAAAGGAATATAATCACACAATGCGCTGTTTTGTCCGATGCCAGATGGATTGCGAGCCAGTCAAGATTCATGCCGGTGATTGAAAGAGACTACAATGTATTTGTGTAATGTTTCAACATTTTTGATATCTATACTATGAGATACATTCAGTTGCATTCTGGGAAATTATGCTTTGTACAGTACTGTGTGGACTTGTATCATAAGTACTGTATTTTCCCTATTAGCACATGTACTTACTTAAATGACAGCAGTGTGTCTGGTCAATATCAGTCGTATAGTGTTGATCTAGCATGCAATAAATGCAATTTGTATGTGCTTCTTTTAGAGATAGATGACTATGGTATTTGTAATATTATTTTAGTCATACCAATGTGTCGAAAAACAGAATATAAATATGTTTATTTTTCTTGTGTCTGGATTGGTTACCAGTTTCAATGCTAGTTGAATTTCATTTTCAAAGTTTAGGAAGTCTTCATTAATATAACATTAACACTCTTCTGCTATATTCGATTATTAATCTCTAGAATTGTGTTCTGATATGCTGTGATTTAAAAATGATTCTTTGTATGAATTACTGTGATCTGTTGTTTAGGTTCACACCATATTGTATTTTCGACATGTCGCATACTAGCCCCAAAACACCGATATGAATGTATTGTAATTGCCTCCAAGTCAGAATTTAAAATGACTAATGTCAGTCCACTGTATGCAAGGTTTGTATTCAGTCATGTGGGTATATACCACACATGGGAAAAAAAATATAAAAAAATTGATTTTGTATGATAGCATGTTTTATTTTGTGATTATGTTTGTTTTCTTTCAAACTGTTGAACTGATGCACCTTTTTATTTCAACTGTAACAGCTATGTTAACAATAACAGTCTCACAACCAATACCCCACTTGTTGATGGGATTGTCGATGAGTTAACATGGCAGTCACAGAATCCATATATGTCGATGGTGTGGCCACCAATCTTGTATATAACGTTATTACCCTTTCTGATTTATTTTCCCAAACTCGTGTCCTATTATTAATTTAGGTATATTAAATTTAGTTGTTTCCTTAAAAATCTGATGTTGGTATATAAAAGATGTATACCTTAAGTCATGTTTAGCTTCTTCTTTAACAAGATTTATCGACCAATTATAGAGTGTGTTTTAAAATAAACTTGATTATTCTACATATGTAGTTTCTAACAGAGGTCTGCATTGGATGCTGGTCAACCAAGATAGGAATGTGAGTTACATGCATCTGATGTAGATGGCGATATTTCAGTTATAATCAACTCCAACTTGTATGTACTTCAAATTTTAAGATGATTAGAAAATAGTTGACTTTTATAATAATTCTATAATTCATTGCTCTATTGACTAGTACAGTTATGTCTACCACAATATCACTTTTGTTGCCAGTACTATATGTGAAAATTGATATTGTCCAACATCATGCTGTATGGTTGGACATCCTGGTTCTTTTGTGTGACTTAAAACCCCATTTGGCTGTTATTGTGATATGAATTGAATCCCTTAGTTACTTTTAATACATCAATGCTTATTGCCAGTATTATTGTACAGCATTTTTGTTTTGCTGATTTTTTTATTTTATTTTTGCAAAATGTTTGTATTATCGTGTTAAGATATAACTTAGGGATGAACCATTTGAAAAGTGGGGGGTTGTGTGTGTGTGTAAGGGGGGTGTAAGTTGTTCTCCAGTACTGGTAATAAAGATCACTCAATTACTGTTGAGGAGGGTACCATACTATGAAGAATTGAGAACTTCATGGAGGAGATCCATAATTTGCACCAACCTCCGAGTCAAGGATCATACTGACTAGATTCAAATGTTTTTTTATGATCAGTGCTAACAAGTATACTGTGCTTGTAGGAAACTATAGGTAATTTAATTACCCAGTTATGTTGTCCTTAATTGTCCATCTTTTTACTTGTATTTCAACTTACAACAAAAAATATGCATATCATATTTGATAAGCGATAAATGTATTCTCAGTAATCTATTCGTCTTATGTATGCAAACCTGTGCAATGTTTTAGTAAGGGGACTGTGTGGTAGATAATTGTGTTAAAAGCATGCATCAATGTCCTCCCCACTCAATGCAAGGTTTGATTCAGCCAATCAGGAATGTAGCTTGCATATTCAAATTGGGGGTCTTTGCAAAATGAATTGTTGTAAAAAGCATCCTGATTGGTCAGATCACCTTGTTGTGGTCTGCATTCTAATATTAGTTATGACTACAAGGCAATTTCCATATTAATATTAGTATCTTGCTGTGGACAATAAATTATATTTTTAATGCAGACACTTTTGATTAATATATTGAATGTTAATTTATCAAATAATGTCACTTGTCTGTTTTATTTTTAGTTTGATTGAGTAAATGTTGGAAAGTAATATAAAACCAAAAAAATTGTTTTGCAAAGCTTTTGTTTTTTGGTCTAAGTTGTATTAGAGTGAGAGTGAATGAGTGTTTATTTCTTTTGTAGAGTGGAACAAAGTCCCTCAACCCTGCTGTGAAATGGGAGGATGCTTTATTGTATCAGCCAGTGCGACACTGATGCACAAAGATTCTCCGTGACCCAACTGGTTGTGCTAATTCACTGTCACATTGACGGAACAGAAAAATGTACATATATCTTGAATAATATCTTATCCATACAAAATCAGCCCCGTTAGAGGACACACTGTTGCCAGCATAGTTCAAATACAAGTAATGTGCTCGCAAGAATCATTGTAACTAACTGAATATTTCAATGATTTTTATATTTTTAGATAGTTATTGAATATATTTCTAGTTTACTTAATTTGGCTGATTGCTACTGTTGGGAAAAGTGACCTGAGTTCCCCCATTCATCTGTTGCCAGCTCTGCCATATGTTGTGTATTGTTCACTAATCCTCATTTTTAGAAATAGAAATTGTTGTAGCACACGTTTTTGTTGTCTTCATGTACGCTTGCTTGTAATGAGAACCAAACCCCTGATAAAACTCTGGATTATAACTATACAAAAGAATTTCTGTACAAGTATTAAATTTCACTGGTATTTAGTTTGACTTTTGATACTCGGATTTATGTTCACTGATTTTTCAATGAAACAAGGAGTTCTATAATTTTACATGCTCGTATGGATTTATGTGAAAATTAAAAACCAAGAGAATAGTGATTTTACAGAAGACCAGTTAAGAAATAATAAAAATGCAATATTCTGCTTCCCTACTGAGAGCCCATATGGGAGTTTTCTTGTTGAAACATGCTTAAAAAATCTTAAAAACCAAATACAGTGAAATTACTTTTTGCTTTGCTCTCCTCTACACTCAATACAAAAGGGTGAATTTGTGATGTGACAGGATGCATTATTGGTCAATTTGGGGTACCCCAGATATCCAATCAAATTGTCCCAAATAAAATATATTTCACCAGATAATAAATAACAATAGCTGTAGAATAATATGTAGATATATTTCATTTGAACTAATCTGGTCTTTAGCCCAAAAATCAACCTATTGTGGGAGAAATGAATGTACAATACTGATATATTCTTTACATGACATGAGAAATTATAAATAAAAAAAAAAAACTAATAAAGCAAACTAAAATGTCTCTATCATCAAATCAGTCATTGTTAAGCATGACACCAATTAATAAAGATTTATTGGGGTTTTGGAACTACTGTGTTAAAAATATTTGATTGTTTCCAGGATTCTGCTTTGTTTCAAGTTACCGCTGCCAATAGTAATTCAAAACAGAAACAAATCTGTATATATCACTTCAAATTTCAACAAACAATAAAATACAAAGCCATTTACATTTCCTACAATATTTCAGACTAACCAACTATATCTGTTAATAGTCTCAAGACCACTATAAAGTTTGTTGACTGCTCTCTGCGTGTTACTTAAGAATCATTATCTCGATAAAAAGGCAATGGTGGATTGATTTTGATGTGAAAAATTGCTCAAAAAATATATATTGTGATTTGTTCAACTATTTCTGATATTCACAGGACTAGATGTAAGTCTTTTTTTTTTCATGTCACCTATGTCTTGCCCTCGATAAATTATTCTACATTCCTAGATAGTGGATCCCACATTCATTTCAACTTGTTGGAATTGTTATCTTTTGGTAACCCTAGGGTACATTTCACCTTCCTTTTCACAGATTTCCCAACTAAAAATTTGTCAAATGAGAATGTGCTTATTTATAACTCTGCTGAGGGATGGAATTGAGTGTCTACAAATAAAACAAATTATGAGAAAGACGAATGTTTTCTTACCACCGGGAGTAAATGGAATGTGAAATTGTAAAAGAAACTTGTTTTATTTGCAATTTCCAGGTATACAAGTATTTTATTTGTACGCATTAGATACAGAGGCGGCGGCAGCTTTTTTTTTAATTTTGAATTCTAGACCCTCTGAAACGCCGTTTCCTGCATTTTGGAGAGCAAATGTTCATGGTTCACTTTTCTCTTACAAATATAGATGAGTGTTTCACCTTATTTTATTGTGGGGCGACGCCCCCTCGATCTATTTTTCGTAGGGGGTGACCGGCCCACTGTCGCCGCCACTGGGATATAAAGTACACTGGTGCCAAACGTTAAGTTGGAGACGAGGGCGAATTCATTGAGATATGACAGCGTTTCACTGCTGTGATAGCGCCCTCACTTTTCGAAGTTTCAACGCAGATCCTGTTCTGTCCCCGTTTATAATATTGAGCGAATTACCAGCTGATAATGAAACATTAAAGTGAAATGCCCAACCACACATTTCCCAATTTGGATTGATGTTCCACTAAAATAGACAGTTATTGATTTTTTGGCTGAAAATGATTACTCGTGTCCAAGATAAGTTGAGATATTTCTCGTGTTGTAGCCACGCCCACCTATTCTGAAACAGTCGACTGTTTCCGGCTTTCCGACTATAGCCGAAGCATAACGACGCCACCAAACTATGTGAAGAAGCCATACTCTTGCGCTGTACTTTTATAATACTGTGTCATTTAACGATACAGTTAAAGCGCGGCAGTCGTCGCGCTGCGCATGTGGTACATTTGTATTGATACACATTGATTTTCCCACAATCCAATGCGCTCTTCAAGTATGAGGTTTGACCTGTGCGCGATTTGCACTGACTCTTTCGATACCTTCCAATCACATGAAAATTACCTAATTAAAGCTTGAAAACGTCACGGTCTCAGTTCGTACTCGTTGTTCTGCGCAACAGTCAAAGTCGCCATCTCAAGAATGGGCAGTTTACTCGTCATGGTCTGGACAAAAATGAGTAATATTGCAATGATCGTCAAATTGCGTTCAAAACATAACTTCCATGACTATATATTATATGTTGGAATCGGTTAAAAGATAATAATTAACATACTTTGGGTCGGCTTCGTTCACTTATCAGTTGAAAGTTGTATTATTATAATAATATTACTCATAAAATCAATTATCATTATTTGAAATCGACGGTAATTAATCATTCATTTTTACTTTCGTATCGCGTGTCACAATTATGCAGTACCATTAGTGTAATCGGTATACTGGTCAGTCTGATCTTACAGATGTTCCTCAATACCAAGATATTCTCATCCGGTGTCTATCCCGTGATCCTCTCGGTCATTCGCCCTATGTTAGGATTTCTGTTTGGCTACGGCATATCAACGGTATTTCGACTCAAGCTACCACAGCGTCGAACAGTTGTCTTTGAAACTGGTTGTCAAAATGTTGCACTGGTATTCACAATGATTAGTATTTCGTTTCCCATGGGAATGGTACAGTTGGAAATACTGGTTACACCGAGCCTGTTCACTATATTCATGATCATCGAAGCGGCTTTCTTTATGATAGCCTTTCGTGTATATTTAATAATTTTTGAAAGACATTCGAATGACGATGAAAATGAAATCATAGAAAAAAACTACAGCGTAAGCGATGGTAGGCTTGAAGAATCCTCTGTTTGCGCAGGACAAATATCATACATAAACCACGCCTACAACGACTTAACCCAATCCATCGCCCCTGTTGTCATATTTGACCAAGACACTATAGACATCGACCTGAAATCGTTGTACACGAACAAAATACGAGCAACCTGGTGAAAAGTGCGGCATCACCCACCAACATGGAACATTGGGTTCAAGTCCACGGCATTGGTATGTAAACCGTGAGGCCACGGCTGAACTCATCATCGATGCTTTTACACTTGATATTATGAACGGAAATGATAATGTGGCTTATTGCCTAGAAACAGAGCGTTGCCATGGAAATACATATATTACCCGGATTATAGAAAGGAAATATCATGGGAGAGCAGCCTATGATAACAGTGCATAGTGCATATGGTTAAGCAACTGCAGCAGATATTGTCTACTTGGACATGTTTGACAAGATATTACGTCACGTTTAATACGATATTGCGTCATGTATGACAGGATATTACGTCACGTTTGATACGATCCTGGGGGG